ATTTAAAGTTTTAATATTTTATTTAAACTCGATATTATTAAAATTAGTCTTAGCGTTATAAATAATAATATCTAAAGATTTAATATATATATCTATTTAATATAGTCTAAGTATATCTTATATATAAGAGATAGTTATATTTATTAATTAGTAGACGATTTAAAAAGAAGTTCTCTTATTAATAATTTATAGAATTAGATTATTATTAATATAGAGAATATTAATAATAATTATATAATTAAAATAGATATTATTCTTATTCTTAAGTAAAAATTTAAAATAATTTAGAAATTAAGAGTACTTTTAATAGAGTATATAGAACTTAATAATTTATTTAAATATATAATAATATTTAAAGTTATTATAATTAGCTTTTTTTAGAATTTAAATAAGTCTATTAATTAAGAGATAATTAAATTAACGATATAGTTAATATAACTTAATATTAATTAAATAATTAATTAATATAAGATTCTATATTAAGAATAGATATTTATAAAAGCGAATAATTAAAATTATAGAATTATTTTTTAAAATAACTTAATTCTTAAGATTATTTAGATAGATCTCTAGTCTATTTATATCTTAAATATATAGTAAAAATAGAGTATTAGTCTATATTATATAAAAATCGACTCGATTAATAAACGAATTTATTATAAATTTTTTAATTAATACTATTATTTTAATTCTAAATTAGATAATAATATTATTAATAGAGATAATATTTAATTATATATTAAATTCTCTTATATAGACTTTTACTTAATTATATATAATAATAAATATATATATAACTTCGATATCTAATATAATATTATAAAACTACTTTAAGATATATTAATTAATATTAAGAAAGCTATTAGATTTAATAATATTATAATATATAAAATAGCTAAAAAGCTTTAAATAATATATTTAAATTTAATTTAATATAATTATAAAAGTAGTTATAATAAAGTTTTCGACTTTTTTTAAATTAATTTCTTAAATATTAAAAATTAAGATCTTAAGATTTTTAATTTTATTCTTTTAATCTTTAAACTCTTAAATATAGAAATTATATCGCTTATTAATCGAGTTAATAAACCGCTTAGCGAACTTATTTTAAGACTTCTAGCGTTTTTTATCGATATACTTAGTTAATTAATAGCGTATTCTCTTATAGATATAATACTTCTAAAAGCTATTTATTTTCGAAGATGATTTACTATAATTACTCTAATTTAAAAATTAATTTAAAAATTAATTAATATAATACTTTTAATTAATAAAGTATATTATAGATCTAAATAGCTTAAATCTTTTAACTTTTATAGTTTTTTTATAATTCTCGATTATAATATAGATATTATTAATTAATCTTATAATTATAATCGTTTATTATAAGATTATAATACTATATATAAAGATATTATTATAAGAGATAATTATCTTATTTTAAAGTATTATATCTAATTAAAATTTATAATTTAATTCTCTTTAAATTTAACGAAGTTATTAAATTATCTTATTAAAGATAGTTTTTTTATTTTTTTTAAGATTAGCTCGAAGTAAATCTCTTAGACTAATATTATTTTACTTATAAAGTATAAGATAATAATATTCTTCTCTCTCGAAATAGCTTTAAAATCGATTAAAGAGTTATTAAATAATAAGATTAATTTCTTAATAGCTAGAGTAATAATATTTTAATATTATAGATTTTAATATAATTAAAAATACTATTTAAAGAATCTACTAAGAGATCTTAGCTCTTATAAAGATTTATAAAAATTATAAATTTATAACTAAGACTCTCGATAGAACTTTTATTATACTTCTTCTTATTAATATATAATTTAATTAAAGTAATAAGTTTCTTATTATAACTATAATTTTATTTAATATTAGAGTCTTAAATAACTTAATAAGGCGTAGATAGTAGATATAGAACTTAATAATTTATAAAACTCGATAATTTGTTTATACTAGTATTAGAGGAAGAATTAAAGTAGAATTCTTCGATTAATAAGGCGATTATGAGGGAAGAAGAGAATAATATTCTTTAATCGATAAGGCTATTATTTCTATATTGATTAAAACGATTGCTAAGAGTAGTAATAAGATAATTTTAATAAGGGATGACCTTCGTCGTCTAATAATTATGGAATCTCTTTCTTAATTATATCTACTAATTCTTTAGCTATTAAAAGTTCTCTTTCTTTCTTAATATAAACTTTATTAATTTATAGATAATCTTATAAACTAATAATAACGTTTTTATTAAGAATCTCGAAGTTCTCTTTAATATATAAGATAAAGTCGTTAATAAAGACGTTAGAGAGTATATTAAATTTATATATTTTATATTATTATATCCTTTAACGATATTTACGATTTTCTTTTCGAGCTTTCTCTTCGATATCTGTTTTAGACATTTAGCTTTCTATAATTTCGCTTTATTTTAAGCTTTTTATAATTATAGATAAAGAGTTATATAGCTATTTTAATATTCATTTTAATATATATTATATATTAATATAATGTAAAGCTTAATAGTATTTAATATTTTCTAGATATTTTCTCTACTAAATAGGAGTCGTAGAAATTATAGAAATTATAGTTTTATTTAATCGAATTATTATAATAAGCGAAATCGATTAAGTAATATAGAATCGTGTGAAGTACCGCAGCGATATTAAGATAAACTTTCTTTAAGAGTATAGCCTTACTAATCTATATACTAGTATTAAAGTATATTAATTAATATTAATAAATATCTAGATATATAATTACTACTATAATAAGATCTATTATTAAATATAATAGTCTTAATAATATTTAAGAAAGAAGAATTATATATATAGAGAAGGCCTTTATATATTAATAACTAGGCCGAATAAGTACTAGTAATAGCGAGAAGTACTTAGCTCTATCTAAACTCTTATCTTAATATATCTAGAACTTTTAATATCGATCTTCGTACTTTTATATAATAATATTATACTCGAAAACTAAATATATAAATTTTTAAATTTCTTTTAATTCGAATTATTAAAAGTTTTTAGACTTCGCTATTATATAGAGAAAGAATATTACTATAAGATATAGAGAGATTAATATTTAAAGTTTAAAGATATTTCGTCGTTATCGCTATAGAGAAAGTTGAGTATCTAAGTATTTCTAATATATTTTATATTTATATAAGCTTATTCTAAGCGCATTAATCGCGTTAATATTATTTAAAATATATATATTATAATTTCTTTAATTTCTAAGCGAAGTATATTCGAGTTAATATATATTTCTATAGAGATAATATCTTAAGTATTTAACTTTTTAATTAAGAGTAATATAACGAATCTATCTTAATAATTTCTTAATCTAATTTATTATATAATCTTTTAATAATATTAAATATAATATACTATTATTTAAGATTTTTTTAATAAAAATTAATCGATTAAAGATAGATATTATAAATATTAGCGAAGATTATAATTTTAAATTAATTTATATAATAATAATAAGCTATTTAATTTTAATAAAAGACTTAAATACTTAATTAGCAATCTCGATAGATTTATTTATCTCGCGATTAACTTTAAAAAATTATATAATAACTATAGAAAAATTATTAAAAGTCGCGAATTTTATATTTCGATTAATTATTATAGATATTTTATATAAAATAATAGTTAATATAGCGATTTTAGAGTTTTCTACTTAAACTCTAAAAAAGAAATATATTATAATAAGCTTATAATATAATTAATTCTCGAAGCGAGATACGAGTATAGAGCTAATTATAGATATCTCGACTAGTCGTAAGTTTAAATTATTAAGACTAGTCTTATAACTAATTATTTTACTAATTAGAAGATCTAGATTCTATATTTTCTTAATATTATCTCTCGTCGTAGATTATTATTTATATATAAATAAATAATTATTTTTAAAGTTATATTCATAGTAGTTATATCTAATAGAAATTAAGGGCGTCGACGAGGTACGCGCGATATATATATATATAGACGAATTAAAGCTATTATTTCTAGATAGTAGCTATAATATATATAATTCATAAATAGTTACATACGTAGATGCGGAGAGTATACTAAGAAAAGGCTAAATTTAATATATTCTATTAATTGAAATAATAATTAGATAAGATCTTTCTAATTGATGCGTGATTAAAAGGTCGGCCGCACGAGTATACACGGTGGAGTTAAATTGTGGTTGACTCCCTAGTCTGAAACCCCCTTATGTACGACTGGTGTAGGGCCAGATATCTACCATGGCCAAGACCCACTAGTGTTGTTGGCTAGGCAACCCCTGAATTCTGAGACTAGTCGGATGCCAGCGCCCACACACCTTGATACAGAATTTCTTCAGCCTGAAAAAAGGGGCACCGAGTTGAAAAGGAAATGTAGAAGAAAAAAGATAGAAGATAGCGCTTGGAGTAAAAATTGATACTGATGGAGTGATGGTACATACTTTGGATCAGCCTACTGCTTTAAGGGGTGGATGTGCATTCGCGGGACGGATTTATCGGATTTAAAGATGCTGGTAGGGCAGTACTGGAACAGTGGAAATGCACTTTTCGATTCTTTCACCACCATCTCCGTCTGCTCTAATTCTCACTCTCCACAATGGTCGGCTGTAAAGATCGCCATAATCCTGCTCATACTCCAAACAGTCCGCCGTCGCTGCCATTGTCCCTGGCTGCGCAGAATGCAAGCACAACCTCCTGGTTAGACGCGCTCCCTCAGACCTTTTCACCTTCTACTACCGTCTCTCACTCCCAACCCCACTCCACCTCCACCTCCACCCCACATAGTTCAACGGCCCACGACGCGCCTTATTTCCTCAGAACTACTCGGCCAAATTCTGCCAAGCCCACTCACCCTTCCACCACTACATCCTCATCAAAACGCAAAGCTCTCGCAGATATCCGAATCTCCACCCCTCGCAAATCCGCCAGACTGAATCAAAGGCAATCGATCCCGAGACGAAACATGCCTCAATCGCCATTGAAGACAAAAGACGTCGAGGCAAAGGCGAAGGAAGGAGAGGAAAGTGGCATGGTCACAAGAGCGCGATCGCAGGCAAAGGTCTCTTCGGCTGTATCTAGTGACAAGGAGAATGGCGGCACAGTACGAAGCGCTGGGATTGAAGCACAAGTGATACCTTTATTCTCAGAACCATCAGCTCGGCCGGGCTCTCCACTCAAGAGCAAGTCCTCATCGAGCCGACCTGGATCTCCTACAAAGTCTACAAAGGCGCCAGCATCCATGACCACAAGAGAACGTCTTATTCTCCTCAACCCTCCCGTCAGCTTCTTTCCGCGCGTGTACTTTGGCCAGCTGGGAAATAAGATGCCACCTGCAGTGAAGATTCTTTGGGTGAATCACATAGAATCCGATGGCGAGGGTACCATCCCTGAAGCGCTCAAGGTTCGTCACACAAGCTTCCACATTCGTGCTGATGCTTATGCATTCTACGAACCTAGGCACGAATCCCTCAACAGACCCCAAACAAATCGAAACCAAAGGTTCCAAAGATGTGTTTCTCAGACAACACTCGATACAAACCCGGCGAGTATGACAGAATCTGGATTGCCATCACGGATGTTTTGATAAACGCGGATAGATATCGGCATGAGGGTTATCATGAATCGCATTGGATCTCGTACGTGGTCAGCCCCATGCTGAATTTGGTCAGCAAGTTGGAGTGCTTCAACAAGGATGGGAAGCGAATCAAAGCGCTGGATATGTAAGTCTCGTCTCACCTGGTCTTCGTACTTCTGACTGACCAATTTCGACTTACAGACAGACCGTTGCCATTGATCCTCCTTCCCTATGCTCATATTCCCCGAGTACACAGTTCAAAGATCTCGATAAACGCATCGACTGCGCGTTTGGTCTCGATCTTCCGACTGATCAGACCCTTACCCTTCAACGTGGAGTGTACGCAATGAAAGGCGCCATGGATAGCATCAACCAGACTTCAAGCTTTGTCAACTTCACTCCTATGTTCGCTAACTTCGAGGTGAAGCGCAAAAACACGAACATAGATCCGCTCATCCAATTGGCGGCCTGGATCTCCGCCGAGTTCGAGAAACGCAAGGTCGAAGATTACAGCTTGGATATGCCGGTGCTCGTCATCGAGATCGAGGGGGATGAATGGGGTCTACATATCGTGTATGTAGATAGGGAGATGGTCAAGGATAAAGGCTACGGTCTCCGGTTCGTGGGACCTATATCTTTAGGCGACACCAAATCGTTGGAGGGTGGCTTCAAGCTTCTAGATGGACTATGTCGGTGTGCGGACTGGGGCGTTGGAAGCTACAAGGATTGGTTCGAGAAGCAGATCCTTCAGAAGTATATCTATTAGGGAACTGCACTGGTTGAGTTATTAATCGAAGCAGCTGCATTTCGCCTTATCCGAGGCCTCAAAGTCAATTTGCTGATAATAGTAAAAATCTCTCAGGCTTTGCTCCCATTACGCGCACCCTTGACTACTGCTGTAGATTCTCATATGTAATCCAACTCAGAGGCTTCAACGGGATCCTCGCTCTTTGAAAAGGTGCCAAATTCTCACCTTTCTCCGTCCCCAACTCCTTCGCGTTATGACAATGACCTCAGCACCCACGACTTAACACACGTATTGATGCCTGCACATACTGCACCAGCCACCCTTTACCCTCTACTCTGCTCTACCCCTAAAGAGGGTACTCGGGGTGGAACATCCAAGCACGCTGACCAGCATAGCCAACCTGGCGTCGACATATAACAATCAAGGGCGGTGGAAAGAGGCCGAAGAGTTGCAAGTGCAAGTCATGGAGACGAGTGAGAGGGTACTCGGGGTGGAACATCCAGACACGCTGAGCAGCATAGCCAACCTGGCGTTGACGTGATGCGCGCCCCAGTACATTTCGATCTTTCCCTTTCTACGTTGTTCTTGTACGTAGATAGAAGGGAGATCTCGTGAGGGAGTCGATGGTATTAGTAGCTGTCTTCAAGGCTAGAGGAGATATAATATCAAATAATCTAATTTCAACGTCTACAGCTCGTTAAAACTTCTTCCACTAATCTAGTCTCAGTAATTCAGACTCGCTTAGCGGGGTACCCTATGGCCAGCCTTACACTCGTTCCTCGCTTCGAGGGCTAATTATATCGTAAACTTATTATAGTATATCCTCTCTCTAGAGTTTAAGTAGAAAACTATAAAATCGCTATATTAATCGTTATTTTATATAAGATATTTATAATAATTAATCGAAATATAAAATTCGCGACTTTTAACGATTTTTTTATAATTATTATATACTTTTTTAAAGTTAATCGTAGAATAAATAAATTTATTAAGATTGCTAATTAAGTATTTAAGTCTTTTATTAAAATTAAATAGCTTATTATTATTATATAAACTAATTTAAAATTATAATCTCCGCTAATACTTATAATATTTCTTTTTAATTAATTAATTTTTATTAAAAAAACTTTAAATAATAGTATATTATATTTAATATTATTAAAAGATTATATAATAAATTAAATTAAGAAATTATCTAAATAGATTTATTATATTACTCTTAATTAGAAAATTAAATATTTAAAATACGCTTTTTATAGAAATATATATTAACTTAAATATACTTTATTTAAAAGTTAAAGAAATTATAATATATATATTTTAAATAATATTAACGCGATTAATATATCTAAAACGAGTTTATATAAATATAAAATATATTAGAAATACTTAGATACTCAACTTTCTCTATAGCGATAACGACGAAATATCTTTAAACTTTAGATATTAATCTCTCTATATCTTATAGTAATATTCTTTCTCTATATAATAATAAAATCTAAAAACTTTTAATAATTTAAATTGAAAGAAATTTAAAAATTTATATATTTAATTCCCCGCGTACAGAAGTACTATAAGGCGATTTTATAGAATTCTAAAAAACGAGTACTTATAGCGGATTAAACTCTTTCTTACTCTTATTAAAATAAAATTTTAGATATCGCGAAAGTGTAGAGAAGTAGAGTAGTTACTATAACTCTAATAGTATTTTATATATAAAGTACTCTGTTAGTAATATCAAGCTTTATAACTAATACTTAGTATCTATATATACGCAGGGATAAATATTACATATCGGGCAATATATCAAAAAAATAAGTCTTGACAGGGTTTCCTGCTCAGACCCACTGCGTGGGGCCTTTCTGAGACTACCACTAATCCTTCAGGTTAGTCTCGACGACTTCAATCGATACTTCAGAGGAGAGATCCGCCACAGTACGCTTCTGCTTGATAGATCTGTAGTGATGGGATCGGATCTCAGCGGTGTACGAGATAACATCGTCGTCGTAATCATGCTCGTCTATGGCGGCGTACATTTGAGAGCCGAGTACGCTTGTATCGAAATCACCACATAGCTAGTCCTCTTGACGAATTCGTCCTGCCACATAGGAGCATGCAAGGTGCCTTCTTGCCCACGTTGTCTTAAGGAAGCCGTCTCCCTATACAGGAATAGCACCTCTTGATTGGCTAGAAGATCAGCTAGGGTCTCAGTCCGAGCCTCGTCCTCGCGCTGGTCCTGGGCGGCCGCAGCAGGCTGGGTATCGTCCTTTTCGCGTTGCTTTTGGGCAGCAGACTGGGCCTTTTCCTTCTTGCGCTGCTCCTGGGCAAGGGGCTGTCGTTGGGCCTTTTGACTATTTGCGATATTTGCTACTGATTTGGATAAGATGCTTATACTACAGTACGAAACCCTACTCCCTATGTCCCGTGCCAAGTATCCTAGAAGATTTTGAATTTAGGGTTAGGGCTAAGACGCTAAATTGCCTTTTAGGCACGCGATGGTGTTAGGGTTAGAGTCAGGACATAAGATCTCCCGCTCCGCAAGCGAATCTTTCCGGCAACAGCAGACGACAGACGACAAGATAATTTGCCAATTGATAACCACTTGTTGATAATCTTGAATCATGTTTAGCCGCTCACCATCCAAGCTCCTCAGGGTGATCGCCCAATCTAGAAGTCTCACCCAAGCGTCAGCCAGTCTGAGAACTTCTCCGGGAGGCGTGGCGCAGCAGGTGCAATGCGATGTTGAAGGAGCGCCATACTACTCGGTCATGATATCCCGAAATGTCGGCTGTGCTCTAGCAGGTCAGGACCTAGGCCCAAAGACTGCAAAAGTGGACCTCCTTTTCTACGGCGGCCGCCATTTGGCTCGTGGTATACAATCCCGTACAGCTGAGCCTGACTGGCTGGATGCTAATCGTTAGTCAGACAAACTCCCACAGTCCCCACGTTTGACCTTGACGCCGGAGGTAGCACTCCTCATTGATCGCTTTGGCGGTGTGGAGCTGCCGGCCATGCTTTTCCATGGCGGTGACTCCGTGGAAGGCTCTGCCATTACGCTCAAGGGAACCGAGGGAGGTAAGCTGGCCTAAATCCGACTACCCTACCAGACTACTGATGCGTTCACCGAAGAGGAGATGTGGGGATACACGGCTCAGGGGGTTGATTATTTTAGCAAGGCGCTCAAAGACATGAGATAGAAGGCGAAATCAGCTCTGTACCCGCTAGGTACTTGCAATTAACCACTAGCTGAAGAGTTACGCTTCAAATATTGAGTACACAAGATGCTTCCAACATCACAGACGAAATAAATGGTCTCAGGTTCTGCGAGACCACTTCAGTTGACCTCCAAGTTATGTGTCTAGCTTCATCCCTAGATAAGACTCGCAGCCTGCGCTGAGTGTAGTATCCGTCATCGATTCTCGATAAATCTCCGCCAAGCTGTAGGCTCCATCTTGCCCTCAGCGATATCACCGTGCGCTCGCGTAGTGGCGTCATTTTTGACTGTCCGATGGGGGTTTGTTTTCATCCTCAATAAGACTTGCTGCCTGTGTCAAGTCGACAGTTGTAGCAGCCGTCATGCATGCTCGATATACATCCGCCACTGCTGCATGATCCATGTTGCCCTCGGCGATTTGACCGTGAGCTTGTGTAATAGAGTCATTGGCTTCTGCCCGGTACGGATCTCGTTGTAAGGCCTTGCCGTTCTGTAATAGGAACAAGTTGGCCGCTAATAGCGCTGTTCGCTTGTTCCCATTGAGGAATGGGTGATTTTTGATAAGCGCGCAGCTCTGAACGGCTGCAAGTGTGGCTAAATCGTTCTCCTTTGAATAGTGTTGGTGATTGCTTGGAGAGTAGATCGCGGACTCCAGCATGGCCTCACTGTGAACAAAGCTCGCCCCCTTCTCAACGAGTTTGTTAAGCGCCTTCACCTGGTAGGGTTTCAAGAAACGAAGTACGAGTGCCATACTGCCGTCTCACTCTTCACAGACTTTGAGCTATGAGTGAAATGTAGTACAGTTGAATGGAAAATAAATATCTGGTAAGGTGTTGTAAAAGTTAAGAACCGAGAAATAAGAATCTGGATCTAGGAGGGTGGGAGCAGGTATGGTGTAAAAGATGTTGATTATTCTATGTGCCTGCAGGGCAGACAACTTGACTGCGGACAGTCCCCCTCCGACAGTCCCCCGTCCATACTAATGCAGCCTACCGGCTATACCCGCAGCCACCCGGCTTAATATAGGCCTTGATATAGTGAATATCTGACTGGTGGGTGTATTGTCGATATTTCTTTTATTCCACGATATAAATATCTAAATAGAATATTATATCTTAACGAGTAAGGGAGATCTTATAATATAGATTTTTAGCGATGACTTTTATTATAATTTTAGAAAGGCTATAAATTTAAATCTATGAAAATTCTATATTATTAATAGTAGTCTCTACGAGAGCTTTATAATATCTCTAAGAAGGCTCTATAAGACTCTATTTAGATCTAAATAGAGATATTTAACTATTAAGCGTAGATATTCTTAGAATTAAACTTTTTTAGCTAAGTTACTAATATATATTTAATTATCTATAAAGTTATTTAATATTAATCTTCTTATCGAGCTCGATTTAGTTATAACGATATTCTAGAAAGAAGATAAGTAAGTAACTTATTACTAATACTCTTATATATATTAGCGAGTTTTAATATATATAGCTAATAATACGACTTAGTAATAGATATTTATAATATAAGCTCTTCGTCTACTATTATTATACTATTTCTAAGTTATTTATAATAAACTCTAACTATTATATCGTTGTCGTAAACGACTACTTCGAAATTAATAAAGTAAAAGGATTTCATTTAAATTTAAAGTTTTTTATAATATAATATATAGGGCTAGCGCGATATCTTATTTAAATTAGATAAGATCTAAAGCTTAATATATAAATCGTACGCGAAAGACTATATTAGTATAAACGAGAGACTATTAAAGAGAGACTATTCGTAATTAAGTTATAAAGTAGATATATATAATATTAAGCTTACGCTAGACTCGATTTAAAGAAGATCTTAGCGTATCGTAATAATATATTTATAAAAAAAAACGTTCTTATAATTATATCTCTAAATAGCTATATTAAATATACGTCGTCTATATATATATATATATCTATTCTTAGTATATAGTCTTTATATTTTTATTTATTAGATATAATTAAATAAAGAAATAAGAGTAAGAAGAGAGATAAAAGGCGAGATAGAAATTATTAAAATCGATATAGATATAATATTAATATAGACGAGTAAAGATTTATAAATTAAATTTATAATTATTTTTTAAATTAGAGCTATTAAGTAAGTAGATAAACGATCTTTAATAAGCGAACTTTAATAAACGATATTTGAATTTCTTACGTTTTTATAATTATAAGACTTAATTTAAAAATTCTTTATTTATCTAAAAGCTTATATTTTATTCTATAATTTAAAAAAGAAATTTGAAAACTTTAATAGAAAATAAAAATGTTATTCTAAAATTAAATAATATATATCTATTTTTTAATTAGAGCTATTCGGCTATCGAGCGAACTTTAATAAGTAATATTTAAATTTCTTACGCTTTAATAATTATAAGACTAAATTTAAAAATTCTTTTTTTATCTAAAAGCTTATATTTCGTTCTATAATTAAAAAAGAAATTTTAAAATTTTAATAGAAAACGAAAAAGTTATTCTATATATTAATAACGTATATCTATTTTTTTAATAAAGCGTAGATCTATCGAGTTTATAATTGACTATATATATAAGTTTAAGATTTTTAAGCTTAGTTCTTTCTTATTCTATTTTATATACTAATATATTAAATAAGATAACTAAGATATTAAATTATATAGATAGAAGAAAGATATTAAATAATAGATAAATATCTCTATTAAGATACGCTAGACTCGAATAGATAAGAGAGCTAAGTAATATATTAAGAATATAGAATACGCTTATAATATTACTTCTTCTCTTTATAAAATTATATTTTATAATTAATAATTAAGATAATAGAAAAATAGATATATATATACTTAACGTCTAAAAAATAATAAAAGTAGTAAAGAAATAATCGTATTCGAGATTCTTAATATAATATCTTTTTTTATAAAAGATATTAGAAATAATAATAACTCTTTTTATTTATATTATAGAGATATCGCTAGTTATAATTTAAACGCGTATAGAGAGACTAGTCGAGAGAACATTAATATAATAAATATATTATCGAATATTTATAAACGATTCTTATAATAAAGTACTTTATCTTATATAAAGTACTTATTAAGAGTAATTTCTTAAAACTTATTCTTATTTTTAACGATAGCGTTACGAATTTTTATATAATATTTATTCTTCTTATTAGCCCTTACTATCTTATAATAAATAGAATTATTATTTATATATATATCGATATATTCGCTATTTAATTTTTATTAATCGAGAATAAGAATTATTTAATACTATTAATATAATTATTCGTTTTTAAAACTAATTAATTCATATTTAATTATATTAATAAATACGTTTATCTTAATATTTTAAGACTTAAATTAAGTAATAATCTTTATATTAAACTATAATAATATATCTAAATATAAAATCTATCGTTAACTAAGATTTCTTTTCTTAATAAAATATATAAGTTCTTTATAATCGATAAAGATTTTAATAAAAACGTTTTTATTTTTAAACTCGAGATATTAATATTCTATATAGCGAATAATTACTAATAGTTTCTTATCGAAAATTTAATAATTATACTCGATAAGACTTAAGAGTTAAATTCTTATTATAAAATACTAGCGAGTAAAGTACTTCTTTATTATTATATTAAAAAAAAAATTATTAATATAGTTAAAAGAGTAAGTCTCTAAGATAACTTTCTTTATTTTATTAAATTAATATAGAATAGAAGCTTTAGTAATAGCGACTTTTAGAAAATAAAAGATCTCTTAATATACTAGAAATTAATTAAATATAATTTTCTTTATTATAAGTTTTATTATAAATTTAACTATTTTAGAAAAGTCTCTAATAAATCGTTAATAAGATTTATAAATATTAAGAAATTATTATAATTTAACTTATATATATATATAGTATAAAAGATATTAATTATCTATATAATCTATAAATATATATATATACGACGCTAAGCCTACGCTAGTAACTCTATAAGTATCTCTAAGATATCTTATAATAATAGAATTTAATAAAGATCTATATCTTTTTAAGATTAATAGATATAGTTTATTTAATAATAGCTTAGATTTTAATAGATTTTATTTATAATTTATTTATAAATATTAGTAGACTTAAGAATTTAATTTTCTAGACGTAAAATTAATATTTAAGAATATTTATTTAAAGATTAATATCTTTTAACTTCTAAAGAATTTATATAACGTATTAAACTTTTTTTTTAACTTATTATAAATAAACGAGTAGATCTATAACTTAAATTTATAATCTATTTTTTAAATTAGAGCTGTCGAGTAAATTTAATAAGCGATCTTTAATAAGTAATATTTAAATTTCTTACCTTTAAAGAATTATAATAATAAACTTTAATTTTTTCATATTCGAAAAGCGTAAATTACGATCTATAATTTAAATTTTCTTTATTAAGTTTTAATAGAAGATAGTAAAGCTATTATATAATTTAAAGTAAAGAAAGATTTAATAGTTACGAATATCAATTTATTTACTCGCGATATCTAATAAAAAAGTGTAGATCTATCGAATTTATAGTTAACTATATAAATAAATTAAAGATTTTCTAACTTAATTCTATCTTATTCTTTTATATATATTAATATATTATTTAGATAAATCTAATAGAAGTCGTTTAGATACTCGAATAGAATATTATTTATATAAAATTAATATATAATTAAGTCGTTAGTTAGATTAAAGAAGAGAATTTAATATCTATATACTTTAAGAAAGATAATTAAAGTAGTAAAACTCTCGCTATTAAGATCTATATATAGTTTATTAAATATAATTATAATATCTAATCGAGTAAGATATTTATATCTCTAAATCTTTATTAAAATTTTATTTATTAATAAAATTAAATATCGATTCTTTTTAATAATAGCGTTTAATTTTCAATAGTTTTTATAAAAATATATATTACGATACGTTTAGATCTTCTCTAAAGCTATTACTTAATTAGATCTAGCGTAGCTTAATATCTATAAATATACTCTATAGATATATAGAATAATTAATATCTTTATACTATATTATAAATTTATAATCTAGTTATTTATTTATTTAATAATTAATAACTATATCTAATCTAGATTCTCTTTTAAATTATCTATATTATTACTTAATCTATAATTATAATATATTAATAACTAACTCTAACGTTTTCGCTATATAGCTAATTCTACTCTATCTTCTAATATAATTTTACTTTTTAATATCGAAATATTATAATAAAAACTCTTTTATATAAATAACTTATTTTATTATATAAATTTAGATTACTTATAAATAGAAGAGATGAAATATTTTAATTTATAATAGATAAATATAAAGAAGATTATAGAGAAGAATAATAGTATAGATATTAATAATTTATAAAAGCGTAGTTTACTAGCGGTTAGCTAGCGAATATAGACTATAAAAGATATAAAATCGTTATAGAATTTAATAGTATATTTAATAATAGAACTTCGAGATATATGAAATAGATCTATATTCGTTAAATCTTTAAATATATAAAATATATTATTAAAATTAAACTCTAAAAAGAATTTTAATATAATATATATAATATTAAAGTTTTAATATAAATAGCGTTAAGATTTATAATAGTATTAAATCTAATAATTATCTTCTCTTTTAGACTTTAATCTCTAGATATCTAAATAAATAAAACGTTTATTAAAAAATCTTTAAACTC